ATGGGTTCAGATGGTGAGACACTCGGTCCCAATTCTAATAACGAAGCGTTTTTTAGCGTTATTGAAGCGTTTGGCCTAGTAGATTGTATATCAGTATACCCTTCCAGGCTCTGAAGAAGGCGATACTGCTGAAACGTCAGCTAGCGTTGTATTGTATTGTGTTTTTCTATGGAAGTAAATGTATGCTGTTTAAAAACCTCGCGATTGCTGAACAAAAAAACGACACATTCATATTCCAATGCCGTGGTTAAGAGAAAGTCGATCCTGGGAACTGTTTTCATTTTTTTAGCCATTTTTTATTAATTTCTTTCAACCAATTTTTTTAAACTTAGCATTGCACTTTTTATTTATAAAGTAAACCTTAAGAGGGATAGCCTAGTGGTAGTGATGTCTGTCATCAGGAGCACGGTGCTATTTCGATTCCAAGCCGGGCCAACGAAGACTTTCATCTCCCCAGGATCGGGAATTTGGTACTGGACTTGTCCGGGAAAATCACACCCTGCGATACAGTTGGAAACGCTCTTCCCGGCTGTCTCAGGACTCCACAGGGAACCGACTCGACTAGAATTCTACGACATTTAAGATTAAATGAAAATCCTCAAGCAGCAATCGAAGCCACAAGTAAAAACTTGGAAGACGTTCCTGGACAAAGGATGCGAGGAAACGAATTGGATGTGAGAAGTGCTGGGATCCGCACAGTAGTCGTGATGACAGATCAAATAAAATAGAACAAATGAAAAAGTAAATTTTCTATTAAACTATCTTTTGTATTTGTAACTATCGCATACTGCTATAGCAATCGAAAAAACGTATTTTGGGAAGTTTTCCATTTCACGCGGAGAATCGAACAAGCATAAATATATGATTCAAGAGAATGCTGTTGCTTTGGAAAATTCGATACGTTTGTTGTTTTAGATGTTCGAGACGAGTTTTGTGATGATAACATAAACATTAGCTACGCCTTTCTTTGTTGATCACTATATTTTCGAAGAAGTTAACAAAGATCTAAGGAAAATGAAACAGCTGACTAAGGTTCGTAGGTGGAAAATGGGGTGGTGGAAAGGGAATTCGTATTTTACAGGTTTCCTACACCTAAAACTATTTCGGGCCCGTGTAGCGCAATGTTTGGAGATGCACCTTGCAGTACTAAAGATAGTCGTTAGTTCATGAGCTAAGCAAATCCCCCATTTCTCTGGGGTCGGCAAGTTGGTATCACACTTGTCTGGAAAGACAGAAAACACTGGTATGATATATCGATAAATCACCACAAGCGTACTTGTCTAGAATAACAAGAAACAGTGGTGTGATATATGGGTAAACCACCACAAGTCTATGGAACGGGTACACATTCAGTCACCTCTATGATGCTACGATGAGTGGGATATCTCTACGGGATAGATCAACGCTTAGAATTTGTTGTCTCTTTACTGCGGATTCACAAAGACAAGAAAGACGAGAAAGATTTGACGTGCGTGCAAATACTGATGCAATTCGAGGATGGTGAAATTAACTAAGACCTTCCAAATACTCTAAAATCGTTTAAATTTGCTACAATTAATGTACTTAAGCACAATGCTGATATGATTGACTACTGAATTTTTGATATCATATAATGATGGCCATGAAAGGAAAAAACGCTACCTAATTTCTTTAATGTTCTGGGAATTCAATTTGAGGTACTCCATGCGACACGATCTAAGATGTGTCGGAAATGCTGCCGGTGAGATGTGATGAGCTCGAGAATATGGGCACTCAATCAAAGCCGCACAATCCGCCAGAGAACGTGTATGCCGTGGACATGTCATATTCTAAAAGATTTATTTAATTAAAGCATCTCGGTCGTCGTAGTTCCTTAGGACGCTGTGCTCTAGTTTCTGAACTACCGCGCGTTAGTTGATTCTACGTCTATACGTGTTGCCTAGCTCTACGTATGTTTTGTTCCATCGGGTCACGTCGTTGTGGAATCCAAGAAAGAATCTACATATCCTAAAAACCTTCGTGGGAAAGCAAACTTACTCAGATTGATCAGCGAGATTCTTGGATTATAAAGTAATATCTTCCTTTCCCTACTGACCCATTTAACACATCCATCCCTCCGGAGGTATCAAATTTGTCTTGGCAAGTAAACACTTACTAGATACAGCGGTGAATCACCTTTACGATGCCAAGAATAGAGTCGAATGCACAGCCATTATCCTAGAGATAGTTTATCGCTGAGAAATCCGTCGTTTTTCTTTTACCTTATTCGTCTAACCACGTCTTCTCATATTAATAAGCCAAGTTATGATATGTCTCATTTTTACCCAAATGTATAACATCGACCTCAGTTGGATCATAGAAAGCCGCACTGAAAAAGTCTCTCTCAGTAGAATAACGTACCTCTCGTCACATACGGTGTAATAAGTGATGTTCACCGTTCATTCACAAAGTTTTATTGTCAGTTTGATAGTTTCTAATCATACTGATAATGTACCGGTCCTTGTATAATCGTCCTCGCAAAGAACTAAGAAACTAGGAATATCACCCATCCCACTTCCCTTCCTTCAACAATTGGACTAATTCAGAAGTCAGGAGCGCGTATGGCGCAGTGGTTGGAGGCGCCCTGCGACAAACACATGAGATCGATCCTCGTGCCCGTGGCTCACCAAGCCTTCCATCCCTCCGGATCGGCAAATTGGTACCACACTTGTCTGGGAGGACGGCAGCATTGGCTCGATACATCGGTAGGCCAGCAAGAGTCATTGCAAAGGGCAAATTTCCAGTCACCTCCTACGATGCTTATGATGTCGAATGCATGGCGCATCCCTCAGGGATTGATTAACGCCGACAGCTTTAGGCTTTTTTATCCTTCATGCTTAAAAGCAGTAAAACGATGAGTATTTCGAAGAAGTTGTTTCACTTTGTGAATGAAATTGACGCATTGAGTTTCTTGTTTGTGCAATGGAAGTGTTTAGCTGAATAGATTGTGTGTATAATTGACCTTTTCAGCCTTTCAGGAAAACGAAACGTCAACCAGAATCAAGAAAACTCTTTGTTCAGTCAACTCAACGGCATAACTTGATGACAGTATTAATATATCCTTCTTTGGGGGAACCTTCCTTCCCGTTGAAACCTTTCTGTGATGCCTTGGGCCCAATTATCGCCCTGCTTCCATTTTTTTTCATTCCACTTCAAATTTGCTCAAGTCAGATATTTAAAACAATGTGTTTAAATAATGCTTGGAGAACCTATGACATACAAATTGGTGCGATTACTGCAGAAACACATAGCCCTACATCTGTAAACAAATACTGCGAAGTCTTAGGAACAAATTTCATAGCGATGCGGAGACTAAGCTGACTTGGAACATGTCAGCTACCAATAAATCCTCAGCTTTCCCTTCTATAAACGAGGAGTAACGTCCCTACGAATTGCTAAAGGAAAGTTTTGTAAAAAAGTCACAATAGTACAATTTTGCCTATTCACCCAACTCTCTTTACCGGAGCAATGAAAATGCACCACTGATTTGCAGAAGGTCTCCAACCCTCCTTATGTAATCATGTCCTCAATCTTCTCGTGGATGCCTGTTTGTATACTCTGAAAGAGTGATTTGCTCATTAGCCGACTCCTGTAAATTAGTTCCCACAGCGAAATTCTGTGCATGTGTTAACTTACAAATGGAGTTCAATCTGTCTATAGTACTAATCTTACCCCGTCCCACTGTCATAGCTAACCTTGTTCTACTACATGATTTTGTGGTCACTACAACACCTGCTTGGCTAATATTGCTCCATGCATTTGAGAGCTGTCGAGGCGAGACCATCATGCTTACGACTGCCTCAAAGCAACCAAGCAACTGCTCATACATGGTTTGTAACATTGCGCAAAAACCTTCACCACAAAAAATGTTGCTTCCAAAATGTCCTTGCAGGTGACTCTCTCAGACTTTTCGTTTACATCCATCAAGGTTCCAATGAGTAGAGAGAATATGTCGGGCTTAAGCCCGTTGCAGAAATCATTTTTTCTGTTTGACTACCTTCTGGAGAGTTTTCGCCTACGTAATGTTCTTTACCATTAATACCACGCTATTCTTCTTCTACCGGAATGCGTAGAAATTCATAGTAACGAATCGGAAAACTGGCACGCTTCTAGTAACGCATTTCCAAGTAAGGTGTACTTATTAGGTGCTAATAACTATTGCCAACACTTAGACGCCTATCCTGCAGCTTCTCTATAGAAAAGAAGCAAAAAAAAGCAATCATTCCACTTAATTTCCATCACAAATTAAATAAAGACGAAAGAAACCAACGGATTCATTTTATGTTCACCTATTTTGGTTAGTTGACACATACAAAAATAGAAAGACAAGATTAGAACGATAAAAGGAAATAAAGATGAAAGGGTGATAACCTTATGAATGTTTGAACTTTTACTTACCGCCTATTCTTTTTCCATGGTAGGGTATTCGTGTGAAACATAACAAGGATGTTGAGATATGAGCTAAAGTCAGGACCTCAGGTAGGCTTCGAACCAGCGATTACCCCTTACCGTGGCCTATCCACCAGTCCCACAGAGGACCTTGCTCTGCATTTCTCTGTCCGTTTTTTTTTTACCTTAATGGTGCTATCAGCGATCATCCGTCAACGGGAACGGTCTAGGAAGCATAAATCGCCATTACACCCAGTTACGCTGGAGATGCAGTCGAAATCACAGTGTTTTAACCTTTATTCATTCCCTATTCTTTTTCGCCTTAAATATAGGAAAGTCGCTGTCATTCTGCATAGAACACGAAGAGATACCACCACACAGTGAAACTAGTACCACGTTTCAAAAAATCACGATTAGCAGCCATAATTTTTGCTGTAAAAAAACTTATTTCTATGGTTTACACAGATTGAGATATTTGGCAAGGAAAGTAATCTATCCTTCACTGTTATTGTACGACGATGGAGAAATCACATTCTAAAATGGAGACATGTTAATTATAATGAGGAATTCAGCTAAAAAGGTCTATAGTAAGGTTAAAGAACTAATTGATAATCTGTGGAAAAAATAACTTCGCCAACCTTTGATATTCGCTTTTCTGCCTCATAGAGACTTCTTTTATAATGGGGGCGTTCTATAGGATGACCACGGGAAAATTCGAACTCTGAATTTTTGGATGTATTACACGACAATATTTCGTCATATGGACAGCCTTACAGGAGGTTGTTGCAAAAAGTTGCTAACTGCGGCTTCAGTGCCTTTACCTAATTAAGAGCTGCAATTACTTTAACTAGATGTTCACAACATTTACTTTTTGCGGTTTAGATTTTGCAGCTACACGTAGTTGAATCGAGTGTAGTGGAGCAGAACACGAAAGCGACAAAGAGTTCTTTCATAACAATAACAATCATAATAAAGAGTTTCTGTAACAACCTCGTGTAAGCTTATTAATTTAACAAAATATTGATAATTTGTCCTGAGGTTAAAAAATAAAAGTTACTTTTCTAAAATTTTATGGAACAACTTCTAAAGAACTCGTATTCTGTAAACACATCTAATTCTCAACACCCAAAAACTGTTACAAAGCATTAGCGTCTTTAAACTTACTAAAACAATTATTATACCTGATATAGCTCTTGCCGCTGTCCATCCCATTCGGTCGATTAGATACCGACATATTAAGTAACCAGTACGATTTAGCCCGTGAGTACAATGCACTCCAATTAGCTTTTCGCCTTTAATTTACACAAAACTACGGAAATTTAGTTGTATTGTAGAGAAATGAATATCCACATGTATTAATAGGACATATTTTAAAACTACCAACCATTTGTAGAGTCATTCACAAACTCATCAACAGCAGATACAAAATCTTCAACGATGTCCTCACGTTCGTTGACTTCATGACCAGGGCACTTCATTTTTCTGAAGATTTCAGTATTTCTCTGTCTGTTATGGCCAGCCACGAATTTCCCAATAAGAGATGTCCAGCTGTTTATTCGCCATTATACCTTGAGCGTCCCAAGCTGGCTGATAGGGGACTAAAGGCAAAGCAAAACTAATCTTGTGCTTCTCTGAGACTCAGGCGGCACCAGGAGATGGGTCGCTTTCTTGCTGCACCTATTTGATACAAACCTGTTTACGAATACGCATTCAAGCATGCGTGCAAGAGTGTGCCTTGGCATATGCGGATCGCATTCTGCGAGTCAGCTTGACGAAAACAATGCAATCAAGCGAGAGAAGTATATGGGAGGCGTTCAGGAGTAATCGACACGACGGCAGCGCTGACGTCCTCGTCAACGCGAGTTCGGCCATCAAATTCGATTCTTTCGACCAAATAGAGACCAGAATAGGACCTCTGCAATTCAAGAGGTATGGATCAGAACGCGCTTTCACAATCTTCGTCGTTTAAATACCGACATCAAACTATGATGAAGATGAAGTCGAAGCGTTCTATATGGAACTGAAGTTCTACAGAGAAGACCATACTTTCTTCAAGGATATCATTGAATATTTTAACGCCAAAACTGAGCCAAGAAGAACGTCTGAAGAACATCATAAAGGGACCCATGCTTTAGAAGGGAATGAACACAGTGAGTGGCTGCCTAAGCTTATCATGACCCATTCAAAGCAGCTCACATCCCAAAAGCCACACTCTTAACGTCAAACGAAGGTGTCTCCCAATAGAGAGTACCAAAACGAAATGAACCACATCATAGTAATGAAAAAAAAAGAAAAAAGTTACAAAACCAAGATGAGTGCACTCCACGTCCAAACACAACACTTACAACTTCCGGAAAAGCAATGGAGAAAATCACTCACGGTTTCTACCCAGATCTCCTTCATAGCAACGTCATCCTGCCCTCATATGAAATAAAGGAGGACAGATATGTCGTAGCACCGGTTCTCCCTTCCGAAATCCAACATGGTATTTCTTCAGTGGATAATCGAACAACACTTGGCTCGATTAGGATAAGACTTGAACACCTAAAGAGCCTTTCGCCCGTCCACATAAACACATTGGCTGGGCTCTCTAAACGTTACGTGTCACAATTTAGGGTTCCTATTCAGTAGAAGACCAGTAAGAGAGTAATATTGTTCAAGAAGGGTGACCACCACGATATCGGCAACTGTCGCTCAATCTGCTTACTGTCCGTCGTCTGCAAACTCTTCACTCGAGTCATTTTAAACAGGATTGACAGAACACCAGAAGGACACCCATATGAGAAAGCAGGGTTTCCAAAAGAATTTGACATGACAGACCACATATATCATACGAGAGTACAACAGACCGCTGTCTCACTTTCATAAATGATAAAAGGATAAAGGTCTCGGCGTTGATCAATTCCTGAGGGATGCGCCATGTATTCAACTTCACTAAGTATCGCTGGAGGTGACTGAATGCATATCAGGCCTTTACAATGACTCAGGGCGGCCTGCCGATTTATAGAGCCAGTGCTGCTATCCTCCCAGACAACTCTGGTACCAATTTGTCGACTCCGGAGGGATAGAAGGCTTGGTGAGACATGGGCGCGGGGATGGACTCCACGTGTGTGTCGTAGTGGCGCCTCCAACTACTGCGCCACACGTGCCCCTTTCCTTCCACGCTCACTTTCATAACCTTAAAAAATGTTTTCGACTCAAATGATACAGCAGCAGTCATGGAAGCTGGAAGTATTATTGAATAGGTGAAGATTCTTCGAGAGCTATATAAAATTTTCACAACCAAGGTATCACCACCCTACAATAGGATCAACATCGAGATAAAAAGCCACGTTAGGCAAGGCCATACAATCTCGCTAAAAGCATTTACTGCCACCTTCCAGAACGTTATGCGAATCAAAGTTTTTCATGGAAACTCTGGAAGAAAGATATATTGCTCAACGAATCCCTAGGGCGAGCAGAACACACTGGAACCCTTTTGCACGCGACAGGTAAAAATGAAAAGTTTGTCGGTACTCTATCGCTTTGCTCGAGGATCAGCAGAACAACAAGTGGTACAGGTCCCGGTCCGTACTTCTGTTCCAAAAAACTGACTCAGCAAAAAAAGCTGAAAGATAGCATATGTCTCCAAACTTACAAATATTTAATGCCGTAGACACTCCATTCTGTTTTGTTGTAGTACCTATCGGTGTTCGTCAGGTCGACTACCATTCCTATTGTCTTGCCTGCTTGACGAGCCTGAAAACCTCTTGTTCAGAAAAAAGCTTTGCTCTTCCTATAACAAAGCAAGACATATTAACTTGAAAACATCATAATAGGAAAAGTATGAAAAAGCCCTACAAAGGAAACGATGCGGTGCACATCAAAGTGTTCGTTCCTGGACAGATCATGTTTTCCTTTGAAGAATGACTTATCTAGTGGGGTCTTGAATGGAACAAAGCGGGTTCCCCTCAAATCTCGACCAACAGGGTCATAATTCAGCCACCTAAATTTAAAAAAATAAACTAGGACAAACCCATACAACGTGACTGCTGCATGAATTCAAACTAATCAATTATAAATAACATAACACTGGTAGTTAACTCGAACAATGTTAAGGAAAAGAACTAGGGAATGAAAACCGGTAAACGAAGTGATACCTGTCAGGTATCCGCTTGATAGTTCCTTTACAACATTTCTTACGTCGCTTTGCTGATGCGCGGCGTGAAATATACTTTGTCATAATGGAGGGAAAGACGTAAATCTACTTCACTGGTACTGTTAAAAATACAGACGATAAGCTCGAAGACGAAACGGACAAGAACTAAAAGATTCCACTACTAATACTTAGAATATTGCGATAATATGTTGTACAACATAATAATATATAATAAAAAAAATATATTAGATGGTAATATAAAGTAACTGACTACTTATAAACTAGTTTTAAGAAACGACAAGCACAGCCCTTCCGTTCACATGTCTTAAAGGACGAGTGGGTACGAATTGGTATGATCTGTTGGAGCGCGGAAACTACATTGTGGTCAACGTAGTTCTAGAGCAATTTGAACTGTGGAAATAACCTGATTACTACATGACTGAGTAATATGAAATCTAATAAGGAGTTAAGAACAACTGTCGTCTTTTTTCGGATTGGTGTCGTTTTTTGCTTCCATCGAATTCGTTTTACGTTTCAAGCACAAAGTCCATAAATGTATTTTCATCCTTTTCTTCCGTTTTTTTTCTCTGGAATGAAGCTGAACTTAAAATAAGATTCCTCCCAACGGTTTACTGCCTCATCGTGGCTAGGACGTATTCCTGGGTGTCGTACTGCGATTTACAGTGGGGATTCATCCGCTGGCAAGGTCTCCCAAGCTGAGAAGGAATCCGGCGTTTCCATCAGGAAGCCTAGCTAAGAGTAAACCATTACCAGGACCCACCATCGTCCTGGTATCAAACTAGCATGGTGACAAATCTCCTTCTGATTTACAAGGGCTGCGACTGCCTAAGGTGGTGAAGATTTGGGGCAGACCTTGGCCAGGCAAACGTCATATTTTGTCTAAGAGGATCTGGATAGAACAGTGGTAGTGCTGCCGATCATCACGAGCACGGGCTGGTTCGATCCCACAATGGGCTCACCAAGCCCCTCATCCCTCCGGGATAGGGAAATTGGTAGCGGACTTGTCTGGGAAGAACCACACTCCATGGGGACGGGTCGCATAAAATAAAATAAAAACAATAACTTGTGTAAGAGAATTGCCACCAATTTCAGCGGGAAGTGAAATTGTTTAGGTACGCTTCTTTTTAGTTTTTATCACTAACTGCAGGTCGGCTATTTGTTGTAGTTCCCAAGATCGACTTTCTATTAACCTCGGCATTGGAATACGAATGAGTCGTTTTCTTGTTCAGCAATCGCGAGGCTTTTAAACAGCATACATTTACTTCCATAGAAAAACAATACAATACAACGCTAGCTGACGTTTCGGCAGTATCGCCTTCTTCAGAGCCTGGAAGGGTATGCTGATATACAATCTACTAAGCCAAACGCTTCAATAACACTTACAAAAAGACGAAAAACTCTATGGTAATTCCATAATCAACAACTTCTCGAAGAACCCACCGCTTTTTCGTGACCTCCAATGAGGAAGTTTAGAACAGCTGATTATAGTCGCATGTGGTTGACGACTGCACCATCCCACATCAAAAATCGATGCGAACGTACGGGATCAGGTCGCGTATGACCTCTGGGCATTCATCTCTGCTGTTCATTGTAGGATTATTGGCGTTTATCCAAAAAGCCTCAAGGAGTTTTCGCGTTGGCGTTTTAGACTCCTGTGCAAGGATATTGACTTTTACTTCAAAATCGTCTCCGCTGTGCTTTTGTATCCTATGCGTGCCCAGTGGGGTGCTTCATCTTAGTTTTCCTTTGCCACCTAGATGTTCTTTTATACGGATACACAAAGGTCTGCCCATTTCGCCAATATATTCATCTCCACAATTATTACAAGAGATCAGGTATATCGTACCTGAACTCATGCAGTCAGCGTGCCTGCTATAAGGGCAAATTACGCAGTTTGTTGTTTCACACAGACGGTCATACAGGTGGTTACGAACTAGCTGACGACGTAGAGTAATCGGTAGTATTTCAACTATCGCTACTGATTCCTCTAGACCTACCCTTTTTAAGCATCGTTTAGTAGCTACGCTTACTTCATCGCTAATAAAAGGCAACATAAACGGGGCTTTCTTTTGGCCAAGTGCTTCGCTTAAGCGCGTTCTCCTTCTAAACTTATCTCGTTGGGTTACTATTTCGTAGCCATTGGAGATGGCTAATTGCCGAGCTGAGTCGCATGATTCTTTCCTTAGTTCCCTGGTTGTGCACACAGAGGTGCTGTTCGAAACATGTTTCTCACAAGCGCTCTCTTTGTATGTGAAGGGTGGGAAGAGAGGAAGTGAACCAGGATGTTTTTGTTATTTGGTTTTCGGCACCACTTTGTCTTGTAACCGCTACTTGTTAAGTTGATATGAACGTTAAGAAATGGATGCCAGGTCTCTTTCGGTTTGTAGATTACAGTATATGAGGATAGTTGATTAGATGGGTCAGGTAAAGGACAAAGATTTCGACATTGGTCAATCCCTTAAGAACGTGTCATGTATTCTACTCCATTTCTAGCACCATAGAGATTATTACTGTTTGCATATTTGACCTATAAAATAACTTAAGTTTTTCTGACAATGTATCAAATCGGATGTTTCCCTTTGCAGACAAGTTTGGTACCAATTACCAGATCACGAAAGGATGGCGGCGTGGTTAACTCGGCAGAAAGTGAACTTACGCAAAATCGAAGAAAGCATTCCATTTATCAGCTGATGTCGAAATTACTCTACTTGCAATCCATTTGGATACTTCTGTTCTTTTATGATGCCTTAACAAACCTCATGAAATACTTGTCATGTGATTGTGTTCATTTGTAATCCTTTTCTTAAAATGGTCATCTGAATGTTATATTCGTAAAAATGCAAATTTTCCCAATGACAGGCGTTTGAAGATTCTGCCAAGTCACAATAGTTCCTTCTTTCGTACTTTTTTTCCATTTCTACGCTATTCTGGTTATAAGGGCGCTTGTAGCGTTGTGGTCGGAGGCGCCATGCCATGGGATCGATCCCGTGCCCAGGCCCATCAAGCCTTTCATCCATCCGGGTCGGCAAATTGGCACCGGACCTGTCTGGGAGGATAGGAGCACTGGCTCGATACATCGTTAGGTTACCGCGAGTCATTGTAAAGGCCAAATATGCATTCAATCACCTGTAACGATGCTTACTGAAATCGAATCCATGGCGCATCTCTCAAGGATTTTTCAAAGCCGAGAGTTTCATTCTTTTAATAATTTATTTTATGCTCGTTATAGGCCAAAGCATGATAGATTTGCGAAAATTTTCCCTTTACTAACGAATGCCTTTCTGGGTTATCGCCCGATTTCCCAGATTATTCCTTGTTGGTGAGGCTTTTTAAATTTTTTCACGTTTCTTTGATCTTGAGTTATTTAACACATTCCGGACGATATGGACTGTTTAACGTTTTGTTTTCTGCCTTCTATAATTTTCATGGCAGGTTACTAAGTAAGCGAAATACAACCACAACGTTGCTGAGATATTTGCAAAACTCTGGACCGC